GGAGGGCTTTCTCTGTGGTGGCGCCCAACCTATGGAATTCACTCCCCAAAGAGGTCCGCCTGGCACCGTCGTTACTGGTTTTTCGGCGCCAGGTAAAGACCTTTTTATTTAAACATCATTTTAATGGTTAAAATATATGATCTGGCCAGGGCAACTTCTTCTTCCTTCTCTTTTCTCCTCCTATATTCTTTATTTACTTATTTTATACTGTTAATTTTAATTTTATATTATTATATCTCAGTGTATTTTTTGTATTTTTGTATTTAGTGGTAATTTATTATGTTCTATTTTATTTCAATGTATCTTATTGTGTTGTAAGCTGCCCCAAGGCTTCGGCAAGGGGCGGCATAGAAATGTTATAATAATAATAATAAATAAAAAAAGGAACACCTAATTTCTTTGAATGATGTCAGACCTCCAGAGCCTGATGAACTGTATCCGAGAGTAATAAAAGAACTGGCAGAAGAACTCTCACAACCACTGTTTATTATCATTGAGAAATTGTGGGGGAGAGGTGATGTGTCAGATGACTGGAGTAGGGCTAATGTTGTCCCTATCTTCAGAAACAAACAAACAAATAAAAAATGGATCCTGAGAACTGCAGACCAGTCTGACATCAATTCCTAGGAAAATTCTGGAGCAGATAATGAAGAATACCTTGAGGATGATGGAGTAATTAGTGGAAGCCAGCACAGATTTATCAAGAGCAAGTCTTGCTGATCTCATTTTTTTGGCTAGGTATGCTCCCTTGTGAACAGTGGGAATGCTGTGGACATAATCTATCTTGACTTCAGCAAACCTTTTGAGGGGTCCATGATATCCTGATGAGCAACCTAGCTCAAAGTGGACTAGATGGAACAACTACTAAGTGGATCCATAGTTGGCTACAGAATCTGACTAAAAGAGTGCTCATCAATGGCCCCTTCTTAAACAGGGGAGAGGTAACAAGTGGGATACCTCAGTGCCCAATCCTGGGTCCAGTGATGTGCAGCATTTTTATTAATGACTTGGATGAAGAAGTGTAGGCAATTCTTATGAGATTTACAGATGACACAAAACTGGGTGGGATAGTTAATACCTAGACAACTGAAACAAGATGCAAGGTGTACTTAGTAGGCTGGAATGCTGAACTGAAAGCAGCTAAATGAAATTCAGCAGGGATAAAAGCCAAGTTCTGCACCTAGGGAAAAGAAATAAAATGCATTGCTAGAAGATAGGGAACACTTGGCTCACCAATACTGCAAATGAGAAGTATTTTGGGGTTGTTGTAGATTGCAAGCTAAATATGAGCTAGCAATGTGATGTGGCTGCAAAAAAGCTAATGCTATATTGGCCTGCATTAATTGAAGTATCACTTCCAAAGCACATGAGGTACTGGTTCCCCTCTACTCAGTACTAGTTAGTCCGCATGTTAAATACATTGTGCACTTATAGGCACCATAGTTTAAGAAAGATGCAGGCAAATTGGGGGGAAAATCAGAGGAGGGCAATAAAGATTATCCAGGGATTAGAAACAAAGCCCTATGATGGGAGATTGAAAGTACTGGGTATGTTTAGCTTTGAGAAGAGAAGGTTGAGTGGAGAGAGGATAGCAGTTTTCAAATACTTGAAAAGCTGTCACAGAGAAGAGGACCAGGATCCCTCTCAATCATCCCAGAGTGCAGGACATGGAATAATGGGTTTATGTTACAGGCAATCGGATTTTGGCTAGGTATCAGGTAACATTCCCTGATGGAACCAATGACCTAGGGAAGTTGAGGGCTCTCCCCCACTGGAGGAATCCAAGGGGCAGTTGGACATCAATCTATCTGGGATGCATTGTGCAGAGAGTTGGACTCAATAGCATTATAGACCCCTACCAACTCTACTATTCTTTGATTGCTTTCTTCTTCTGTCTTATACTTCCCTATTGTGATTGTCTTTTTCCAGGGAGTTTTGTCTTCTCACAATGTGCCCAAAGTATGACGGCCTCGGTTTTTTAGCACCATGTTTGGAACGTATCCATTTTTTTCTTGTCCACTTTCTTCATTGTCTCAATTTCACACCCATATATGGGGATCAGGAATATGGAAGTGTGAATGATTTTGAGCTTGCTCTCCATTCAAACATCTGTACTCTTAATGATCTTTTCTAGTTCCTTGCTGCCCTTCCCTTTATGGGCCACATAGTTACTTTAAGCTCAGGTATAGCCTTAGGTGCCTGATCCTGCCTAATTTTGGAAGTTAAGCAGGGTCAAGCTGGGTTGAAATTTGGATAGGTGACTTGAGTCCCACACTGTGTGTGCAGTTGGACTTGATGGCCTGCTAGACCCCTTCCAACTGTATGATTCTGTTATTCTATGTATCAGACTTTAAATGTCTTCATGAATGAGCCAAGGTGTGTAAAATCTTTCACAGTTTCAATTTCTTCATTGTTAAAGTTCTGTTCTTCTTTAGGCATAATTTTTGTTAATTATGTTAGCTGTAGTCCTACTTTTGCAATTTCATTTTTCATTTTCATCAGGAGTTGGTTCAATTCATTGTTTCATTCTGCCAGTTGTATCATCTGCACATTTAATAAAGTATTGATGTGTCTTCCATCTATTTTCACACCTTTCTCTGATCTTAATCCAGCTTTTCTTATGATATGTTCTTCATACAGATTGAACAGGTAGCAAGATAAAATACACCCTTGTCAGATGCCTTTGCTGTAAAAAAACCATTCTGTTTCTCCATCTTCTGTCCTAACTGCAGCTTCTTGTCCACAATACAGGTTACATGTCAGGACAAACAAGTCTTTTGTTTGTCCTGACAAACAACCCACATTTCTTTCAGAACCATCCATAGCGTCACAATCCACACAGTCAAAGGATTTGCTGTGGTGCATGGACTTATCTCCTGAACTTCTTTGGCATGCTCTGGTAGCCAACATATATTTCCAATATGATCTTGAATGCTATTCCTTTTTCAGAATCCAGCTTGAACACAGGGTATTTCTTGCTCCATAGATGGTAATACTCTTTGTTGTAATACTTTGAGCATCATTTTGCTTACATGAGAAATTCATGCACTTGGTTGCTGCACTCCTTTGCATCTCCTTTCTTGGGGATTAGAATGTATATTGAACTTTTCCACTCTGTGAGACATTGTTTAGTTTTCCATATTTTTTGGCATATTCTTATTAGGATTTGGGCTGATGCATTCTCTCCATTCTCTTTTGTTATCCTAACTACTCCAGCTGGTTTGTTCCTTCCAAATACTTTCAGAGCAGCTTTCACTCCTTATAGAATTCCTCTCTGAAGGAGTCTGTCATTCTTTCATCACTTCTGTATTTTGTTACCACCTTCTCTTTATTTTCTCCTGGTCAGATAGTATATTCTTGTGTTTGTCTTTTAAATTTTGAATTTAAGTTTGAATTTCCCTTTGATTTCTTGGATCTTCTGGGAGAGGTCTCTTGTGTTTCCTCTTTTGTTGTTTTCCTTTGTTTCTTGGCACTAGCCATTGTAAGAGTTCTCTTGACTCTACATGATAGTCACTGAAAGGTTGCATTCAGCATTCTGTCACCTTTGCTTCTTGCTTGCCCTTAATAATTATGAGCTTTTCTTCCATTGTCCATCTAGGCTCTTTTTTTCTGCTAGTTACAGGAATTCTATTTGACATTCCTCCCTAATAATGTCTCTGGTTTTAGTCCTCAGTTCTTCTGGTTCATGGTCAAGTTTAGTAATGCAAATTTGTTCTTTATGTGGACTTAAAATTTCCTCAGGGATGTTACTTTAGTTGTATTTTGGCCCTGTGCTTCTGTTAGTAAATTTTTTTTTTTAGCTTGACTCTGATTTTTGATATTAAGAGATCATACTCCCACAATCTGCTCCTGGTATTTTTTTTTTTTTTTTTTTTTGGCAGAGAGATCTCAGCTTCTCCATCTTCTGCTTCCAATTATATAATATATTTGATTTTTGTATTGGCCATCTGGTGATGTCCATGTGTTCACTCATCTGTATTTGTAGTAAGTAGATGGTTTGCTTCACGGAGTTCTGTGAATGTCCATATATACAGTCTTGTAAGCAGCTGCTTGAAGTACATGTTTGGGGTAAACAAATTATTTCCTTCACATACCACACAAAATGAACATACTAAGTGACTAGTATTCATGTATACCTGTGCTGCTATAAATATTTTAGAGTTACTTGTTCCTGTTGTGAGCCATATTTATTATGTTGTCATATTGTACATTATTGGTTAACATAAATCACTTGGAAATTCTGAATAAAAAGATAGTATAGAAATATTTTATATGAATATGTAAATAAACACTACCTGTCATTCGAGAGGTCATTGAGGCCCCATCGGTGAGGGTGTTCAAAGATAGGCTGGACATGCACATGGTGGGCATGTCGTGAGCGGAGCCGGCTGGAGCCAGGCGTCAGACTAGATGGCCCGGGAGACCCCTTCTGACTCGCTCTGTTTCTATGGTTCTATTCATATTCCCTTGTATGCATGAAGATGACTCTGAGGTGAACCTGGATAGTTCACTATGCTATGTCCCAGTCTCAGGTGATTCATCCAACGTCACTTTGTGTTGCTATTTTTTTTTCCTCTGGAATAAAGCAGTATGCATTGTTTTATCTGCAGAGTGCTCCTGGTTATCTGTCTTTGATAAAATCCTGTATTCATTCTTTCATTCATTAGATTTATACCCACCTTTTCCTTACAGTGAACTCAAAGTGGCTTACATAATACTCATCCTCCTGCTCTTAATCATATCCCTACAACAATAACCTTGTGAGGTAGGTTGGGCTGAGAGTCTGTGACTGGCCCAAAGTCACCCAGTTGGCCCTATGGCCAAGTGGGAACTAGGAGTGTAAATGGATTGAAAAAAATGTATGTACCTAATACCTGAACTCTTGTGCTTCTATTTGTAGATGCTTTTCACCTTTTGGTTTAGATTTTTGTCAATTTTTAGAACTACCAAAATGTGCTGCTCTGTTTTAATAAAGTTTATTTTTCTACCTTCCTTTTCAGGGCTTATTCCCTTGTGGATTCCAGTCAAGTATCTACATTCCTAATTTCCATTCTTCTCATAGTTTATGGCAGCTTCAGGTAAGGTTATAATCTTTGGTTTATATACACACTGACATTTCCCTCAGAGATCACAAACTGCTGGCTGGTGGCATGTTTCTTAAAGATGTGCTTTCACATCATGGAAGAGATAGGACTGGGTGGGGCCAACATCTTCAATCAGTCATAATCAGCATAGCCAGGGTGGGAGTGCGATGGTAGACGTAGGCCAGAAAAACTCAAAGGGCACTAGGCTGCTCATTGTTTGGGTACAGAGTGCCATTTCATGTTACATCTTCCTGACGACCTTAAGGAACCTCTTTTTCTGTTCTCTTTGGAACTAGCCATTGTAAGAGTTCTGCCTAACTTTACATGATAGTCACTGAAAAGTTACATTCAGCATTTTGATCCTATTTTTCTTACCTTTTGCTTCTTGCTTGCTCTTAACAATTGTGAAATTTTCCTTCCATCGCCATCTAGGCTCCCCTACTGCTCCTATTTGCTACAAGAATTGTCTTTTGGCATTCTTCCTTAGTAATATCTCTGGTTTCAGAACACAATTCTTCTAGTTCATGGTCAGTTTAGTTCAGTAACACAAATCTGTTCCTTAAGTGGACTTTCGGTTCTTGAGGGATGTTACTTAAGTTATAACTTGGCACTTATTAGTGATCATTTTCAGCTTTACTATGATATTTAATATTAATAGTTCATGGTTGCTACTGCAATCTGCATCTGGTCTTGTCTTGGCAGCAAGAAAGGCTTCTTCATCTCCCACTTTCAGTTACATAGACCAGCCTTCCCCAACCTTGTGCTTTTCAGAAACATTTGGACTGCAACAGAATTCCCGGTCAATGGCCCTACTAGATGGAAATTCTGGGAGTTGTGGTCCAAATGACTCTGAAGGCCAGCTGCTTGGGGAAGGCTCTAGTTCTGACCCATAGGCCAAATTCTCCCACATTTGTTTTTGTTTTGTTTTCTGCTTTTGTGTTCCATTTACCTGTGATGATCAGCATGCCTTGCTTTGGTATGTTATCATTTTCCTCTTAAACACCTGCATAAAAGTTTTTAATTTCTTCCTTTTCTGCATCTTTTATTTCAAGCAAAGACTTGAATCATGATCCTGTAAAAATCTTCTCAGAATTCTGTTTGATATTTATCCTTCAAACTTTTGCATTTTAGCCCCTCACTGTCTGTACTACATCTTGCCTCTGTATTAGAGTCACTCCATTTTCTTCTAAGTTGGTCATTTTCAGAGTAAAGTGATTGTCTGAAATGTCCCATTCCAGTCCACTCAAACCAAGTACTGTGATACTTAACAGTTCCGTTTCTTTCTCCACAGTTTCTAATTGGCCTTGATTCATACTTCTCATGTTCCAATTGTATGTGTTGGACTTTCCTTTATTACTGGACTTTCCTTTACCTTGTGCGTGTCAGTCACCAGACCTCTTTTCAGCTTTGATCTAGTTGCATCATTAGCCACAATGCTATTCTTAACTTGTCCTTTGTTCTTCCCCAGTAGGTGTTGACTGCCTTCTGACTTGAGTCTCCTCTTTTGGCACTATTTTTTGTTTCATTTTAGATTTTTTTTCAGAGGGCTTATGCGGTAATAATATTCAGAAGTGCTTTACCATTGTCTTCTGCTCGGTACTAGCCAGAATTACACTGAGTATCACTGCCGTTGTCTGTGAAAGATCCTATGCCAGTGTCACCTTCAATTACTGCTGCTCAGTAGTTACCCTTCAGGAGTTTCTCCGTCTCCATCAACATTACAGATATCCATTATCTTCTGCTGATGTGACTGTTAAACCTGAATTGGGTGGATGCATCTTAGTCTGGTGTCTCTGCCTTGACCCCTCCACCTTGTGAGATCCTGCTAAGAGAAAAGCCTGGTGAGACAGTATTGCTCTTGGCTTCTCTAACACACTGAATCCCCCTCTCCATTTTAAGGGGGGTTCATGATATTAGAATATAAGAAAGGATCACAAACATTATTGTCACAGCCAGTCCTCAAGTCTGCAACATCTTCTGGTGACAAGTACTGGCACCAGCTAATAAGTATTCAAATTTGAGCATAGATACATTACTAAGTAGTGAAGACTTGATTCAATTACATGTTGCGGGGCTGACAGAACATAATACTGCTTTAGAACAGAATTTTCAGCATTAATAAGTTAGTTCCTTCAAGCAGCCCTGATCTATCCAATACATCTCTATCTGTCTAGAGATGCCATGGTGAAATAGGTGGCATATAAATGTTTAAATAAATAAATACGTGATCTATGTTTTATGTGACCACTTTCATCACATGTATTTCTGGGAGGGAAATAGCAACTTATGCTGTCCAGGGTATTGACAGTTCTTTGCCTCATGGTGATCCTGTTCTCCTGGACATGGTAGGATTGTGACTCGGATTTACTGGCCTTGACCCCTTGCTACCTGACTATGCACTATGGACTTTGCCCCCGGAGTAGAAGTAAAGCCAAGATTCAGGCAATCCTTTTGGTAGTACAGTGCAAAAGTACATCTCAGACAGGAAAGAATTCCACACTTTTGGCCCAACTACTGAAACCTCTGTCTGATCGTGTGTGTGACTAGGGGGAAGGAGAGAGGGAGCAAGGTTGTTCAAAATGGTTCTTAAAGTTGGAGCAAAGTCAAGTTGATTCTATAGTCCATATGCCTCTAATCAAGGCAATTCTTAAAGTAACATGGACTAGGAAATTGAGGGCTGTATAGACTAATACCATCAGAAACAAATAGATAACCATTGCTGATGAGACAAGACCACAGTTGGCCACAGCAATGGTCAACACAATAAAACACTCTGTGGACCATACTGTGGTCCAGTGATAGTTTTCAAACTGTTTTTTAAAAGCATGTAGAGAATACTGAATTGGTAAACTGAAATTATAGTAAACCTCCTATCATTTCGGCCTTTTAACAGGGTTAATCCATAGTCAATTGGATTCATGCTGCTTTTATAAGTTGTTCTTATTCATAATTCTATTTATTCATTTTATTGCTGCTGTGGAAAAATACCTTTTGAACAACAGGATGCAAGTCATAAATGAAAAAGGGAATGAATAAATAATCTACTTCCTATTTCTTTATTAAACACATTTAATAATATGTTATGAACATAAGGCTGCCTTTGGACACTATTGAATATACTCTCCTTTCTTTCTTCTCTTTCTCACATGGGTGGGCTCTCTCTCTCGCTCGCTCTCGCGCGCTCTTTCTCTCTCTCTCTATCCTTAATATATCAGTATATATTCTTAATATATACTGGGACATCCTGAGACAATTTTTGTATCAGACAGGGTAAAAATATTTTAAATAAATAAAAATGAATATATCAGTATAATGGTGTGTGTGATTCATGCTGGAATATGAAGCAGATACCTCATGTGTAGATTTTGCCTGCAGGTCCCTTAACATGGACTTTGAGAATCAGGACAAAGAAAAGGACAGCAGCAGCTCAGCCGGCCCCTTCAATGGCAGCAGCACAAATAACAGTAAGATGTATCACTGTCTCTGGCCTGGATTGTAGGGAATGAAGAGGATGCAGGGCTTGGGCCTGGGTTGTACCTTGCAGGTTTCCAATTGGGGCTAGTCAATACAAGCATCTCTCTAGATATTAATGCAGAACATGCTAAGAATGGGTACTGTGTTCCTTTTCTGTAGAGCAGGCATTTTTAAATTCTGGTTACAGATCCTTATATTAATTCTTTTTGCTTTGCATTAATAAGGTGAACTTGAAATGAAGCAGTATATAGTACCTCGGCTCAGTCAGTTCATGACCAAATTGGGTCGTGAACAGAAATTTCAGAAAAAAATTGCCTTGGGTCGCGAAATCCTCATCGAGTGACAATCGTGATTGCACCTGTCTTCCCTGCATGTGGCAATCGCGGTCAAGCTCAGGGTGGGGAGATGGCTGCGATCGGAGTCACACTTGTGCAGGGAAGACTGGCGTGATCGCGGTTGTGCTTGAGAGAGGAGATGGCCGCGATCATGCTGGGGGTGAGGGGAGAGGGCTGCCATCTTTGTTCTTTGTTACTTTGTTGTTCTTTGTCACTTTGTTTCAAATTTTTGTGATTAAAAAAATGGTTACAGAACAGATTAACCTTATTTACATTGAACCTTATATGGAAATTTGACTTGGCTCACGACCAATTTGGGTCACAACCGGAGTCCTGGAACGGATTAAGTTCTTGAGCCAAGGTACCACTGTATATGCAATTCAAGTGATCTTTCTTCGTAGTAGCTACTCCTATTATATGTAAAACATAGGTGAACCTCTTTAGAGAAGTTTTTCTATCACTGGCAACTGTAGTCTGAAGTTGAGACTAGTATCCCTAAACTGATGTAAACATAGAAATGAATGTAGCTATGCTTTTTGTTCAGAGTCACATTCACCTTTTGTTTACTGTCTGTTCCATCCCACCATTTTCTATTGATCAGTCACAAAATTATTTTTCCATTGGCCAGTGTTAGTATACAATGTCACAGCTGCTCTTCGATGCAAGATAGGTTGTCTGCTGGTGCGACTTTGGCAACATGCAACACCATGTGCAAAGTGCAAAGGGCTCAGTTGCAACCCTGGACCTCTTTACTTGATAGGTAGTGAGGGCCATGCCATTCAGAGGGCATATTCTCTTTTTAATGTGTTTAGGATTGCATCCTAGAAGATAAGCATGTGCACGAAGATGAGCATGTGCACTCTGTTCAGCTGGGGCTTCTCTGGTTGGAAGAATGCTTAGCACTGTGTTTTTGGGGAGTACTTATCCTCCTAGCCCCCTAACCAGCTCAGTTCTTATTTATTTCTTATTTATTTCTTAAAACATTTTTATGCCGCCCCATTCGCCGAAGCCTCGGGGCGGCTTACATCAATAAGTTAAATAATTAGAATCATAAATTAAAAATATAAACATTAGAATAAAATACATACAATATAAAATAAGCCGCCCTGGCCAGATAAAATTCAATAAAATTAACATTTAAAATTCTGCTTAAATAAAAAGGTCTTCGCCTGGCACCGAAAAACAAATAACAACAGCGCCAGGCGGACCTCTCTGGGGAACGCATTCCATAACAGGCGCCACCGCTGAGAAAGCCCTCCTCCGAGTACCCACCCTCCTAATTTCTTTCACGGAGGGTTCCCAGAGAAGGGCCTCTCCCGCCGATCTCAGGGGGCGGCCGGGCATATATGGATGTAAGCGCTCCTTCAGGTAACCAGGTCCCAAGCCGTTTAGGGCTTTATAGGTCATCACCAACACCTTGAATTGGGCCCGGACTTCAATGGGAAGCCAGTGAAGCTGACGGAGGACTGGAGTCATGTGAACATAACGCCTAGTCCCCGTCAGCAGCCTGGCAGCTCTATTTTGAACCAATTGAAGTATCCAGACCGTCTTCAAGGGTAGCCCCACGTAGAGCGCGTTACAGAAGTCAAGACGGGAAGTCACCAGCGCATGTGTCACTGTTGCGAGGCAGTCGTACTCCAGGTAGGGGCGCAGCTGGAAGCTGGATTCTTCACCATGGCCTCTGTGCATCACACATATGGGTGCTGCACCTGCACGGTGCCTATAGCCGGGCAGATTTAAAAGCTTAACAGTTTGGCAGGAACTCTGCACCCCTCCCCCCCTCAGTATAAGAAGGCGGAGTGCCCGCCATTTCCTCAGTCTTCTTGCGACCGCCATTCACTGTGCCTTGAGCCTTTCGTCTCTCAGTTCATAGCTATATTGTGTATCTTGTTCTCCCTTAAACCGTTGTTTCTCTTAGCTTTCTTGTTAAGATTCCGAGTTATTCCCTCCCTGTTAGAAGTTTTCTTCACATTCCCCCATCCCCTTTTTTCCCTGTTAACCCCCCCCCCGCAAAAAAGAAAGGTTTTCTCTCTTACATTCTAAGCTTCACTATCTTCTCCTTTTCATTCTCGATGGCTCAGCGTGCAGCTTTCTGAAAGTGCTCTCAGTGTGGATCTAAGATGTCTCCTACTGATCCACACAACCTGTGTCTTCTTTGTCTCAGAGAAGGACACAGGACTGATAAATGCGGCCATTGCCAGGCCTTTACAAAGCAGGCGTGGAAAAATCGAGAGAACCACTTGCACTAGTGGGCCAATCCGCTGCGCAGCCCTCCTCTTTGGCTGCCCCTCTGCCCTGCCCATCGGCTGAAGGTGCTACTCTGCCGGAGGACAAGTGCTCCTCTAAATCTCCAAACAAACAAAAGGAGAAGAGGAAGCACAGTGGACCGGGCAAGTCCTCAGGCCACAAGAAGCCTAAGAAGGACAAGGCGGACAAGATGTCGCATAAATCTAAGAAAACTGATCAACCCCAACACTGTAATTCAGGTTCGTCTGCTCCGTTGGCCCCAATGGCCGCTTCGGTACCAAGACCAACCGGACTGGCTCTCCAGCTGGCGATGCAGGTGACTCCACCTGGGTCCCCGCGACAGGTTGTCCCTTCCGTCCTATCTTCGCCTGAACACCAGGAGGCAGCCATGTTGGGATCTACCTCTGATGGAGAGATCCGGGTCTCTCCTCAGATGGCTCCTCCGATGGCGCCCACACCGCAACCATCGCTGGAGGCTTTCCCGAGGGTCCCTCCTCAGCAGGTGCGATAGCAGCAACGTGCCTCGACCCGTCCCTCTGGAGAACGGGTGCAAGTGCCCCATGGATCGGCCCATCGTGAACCATGGGACGACTGTGCACCGTATGGGTACTGCCCCTCGGTGTGCAACCGTACCCTCTCTCCGGTCCCAAGGGATGTTCCGTCGACGTCCGGCGCAGCTCAGTCCAGGCGCCCGTCTTCGCCGGCCGACTCCTCCTCCAGTCCTCCGCTCCTTTATGACTCTGAGTCAGAAGACTCGGAAGTAGTGTCCACTTCACTGGATGTGGTGATCACCACTCAAAGTCCCAGCTTACTGGAGGAGTCACACTCGATGTTTGGGGAACCAATGGCAAGATTGACGAGGTCACTGGAGATCGAAGCGCAGCACCGCTTCGATCCCAGTACCGATAAGTTTTACAACATCGTCAAAAGCGAACATCCCGCCACCATCATTTTGCCGCTTATCACCACGCTTCGTCAGGTGATGATGGAACTGATGATGGACCCAAGCAGCTTCAGCCGACTTCACGATGTTACAAATGCATGTATCAAGTTTGTGAGCAGGGAATCATGTATCGAGTTTGTGAATAGGACATTCCATTCCTCCTGCGTCATCCGAGACCAAACTCGATCATTGTGGAGTCATCTCAAGGCCGTGAGTCGAGGGAGCGCACCACTCCTCACGATAAAGAAGGGCAGAAGATTGACATGATGGCTCGCCATATTTACGCCGCCACAGGATTTCCAGCTATGAGGCAATGCTGGCCCACTACTAGTATTTTCTTATGCAAAAGCTGGAAAATATCACAACGTCGCTTCCAGAACAGCAGAGGGACCTAGCCCGGATTTTCACCAAAGAGGCAATGCATGTGGCAGTCCAACAACTCTCCATGGCAAGACCACCATGTTGATTGCAACTCAAGGGCCCTTGTTGATGCTGTAGTCCTCCGTTGCCATGCCTGGCTCCGGAACTGCAGCTTTCCAAATGAAACCAAGTGTGGCATTGAGAACATGCCCTTCAATGGCTCGGGGCTGTTCAGTGCTCCGACGGACCACAAGGTGAAGACAATTCACGACTCACATGTGACAGCTCGTCAGATGGAAGTCCCCAACCAGCCTCAACATAAGTGGTCTTGGTCCCGTCCGTCGTACCGGTATCAACCCTATACACAATTCTCTGGCCAGCATCAGTTTCAGCCTCGTCAGCAGTGTTGAAAGCAACCACTACAGTGTTTTCAACAGAGTCATCACCAACCAGATACGGATAAACGCCAGCGCTGACAGGCTGAGCAAGCCTCTTCTCATCTCCTGAACCCACCCTCCCCCCTTCCTTTTGGGGATCAGCTGCAAAGTCGACTCCCCATTTGGGAGTCCATCGCATCTGATCAGTGGGTTTTATCCATCATGGAGCACAGTTACAGAATCGATTTCGATACCGTACCCCCATCGGGACCGATTCGATCTACACCTCAGTCATTGGTTCTCAACGACAAAGTTCAACAGATTCTTCGTAAGGGAGTGATCCGACAACTTACACACTCCAAGGGGTTACATGGTTTCTACTCAAGATATTTCATGGTTCCTAAACGTGATGGTGGTCTTCGTCCGATATTGGACTTACATGGTGTCAACAAATTCATCAAAACTAAAAAGTTTTGGACGACCACCTTTCAAAACATTCTTCCATTGCTCAGGAGAGAGGATTGGTTCACTTTTTTGGACTTAAAAGATGCTTATTTTCATATCAGCATCCATCCATCTCACAGGCGTCTTCTTCGATTTATGGTCGGTTCCAACCTGTTTGAATATAATGTTTTACCGTTTGGACTGGGGTCTTTACTAAATTCATGGCCCAAGTGTGTGTGCATCTCTGGCTCCAGGAAATTCAAGTGTACCCTTACCTGGATGATTGGTTGATCTTCTCATCTAGAGAAGGCCTTCGATTGTCCATTCGGACTACTTGTACCCTCTTAGATGATTTAGGACTGTGTATTAACCATGCAAAATCGTGCCTTGTTCCTTCACAGATCATGGATTTCATCGGAGCCCATCTCGACTGTACAATAGTGAAAGCCTTTCTTCCTCAAGGACAACAAGACAACCTTCGTGCATCCATTCGGCAAATCCACATGGACAGAACTGTTCCAGCACTATCGGTGCAGAAGCTCCTCATTACGGATGAGGCCCCTCCAGCTGTGATTCAATGGCCTCCTCCAACCTCAACGAGACTCGCCTCACTGGCTCCTTCACCTCCCAACTTCCATTCTCCAGACCTTATCATGGTGGACTATACAGAGCAATCTGTGTGTTGGCATTTCGTTCTGCCTGCTTCACCCAACACTGACTTTGTTCACTGATGCCTCCCTTACTGGGTGGGGAGCCCTGTGTGTGCCGGCCTCCGTACTCAAGGCACCTGGGACTATCACGAGACTGCCAAGCACATCAATTACCTGGAACTACCTGCAGTCTTCAAAGCCCTTCGGTCGTTCAAGGACACACTTCAGGGACAAATTGTTCAAGTTGCCTCCAACAACATTGTAACTGTATTCTATATAAACAAACAGGGTGGAAATTACCCTCCTCGCCCTTCACCTAGCCAGTACCAACAGCAAGGAGGCAGACGCACTCAGCAGACAGATGTCAGCGACCCATGAATGGGAATTAGATCGTCAGATCTGCCACCACCTCTTTCAGACTTGGGGCCCTCCAGACATAGATCTGTTTGCCACTCATGCAAACATGGTATGCAAGGCATACTGCTCCCGAGCGGGCATTGACTCGGGTTCGAAGGGGGATGCTGTAATGATCTCATGGATGAACACATTATTTTATGCGTTCCTCTCGCCAAGTTAATCTTTGACGAGGCTCAGGGAATTCTTGTCACTCCCTGGTGGCCCTGCCAACCGTGGTTTCCGACCGTTCTCCGTCTGTCCGGCAACACCTTTCAGCGACTGCCTCTCATACCTCATCTAATAACTCAGCAGAACGGGACTGTACGTCACCCAGATCTTCCTTCACTCAGTTTAACAGCCTGGCTCATTCAATGAGTCATGGTGCTCCTTCGATACCGACGGCTCCTGTGGGCCCGACGCCAACCCAGCGGTGTCCGGACATTACTGCTTGTTCTTCCTCGATACCGACAAATGCTCTATCGGAGCCGAGTGCTCTGCATCCTGATACTCAGTTCATTCTCCTGTCTACGCTAAGACCTACAACCTGCCGCTCTTATGCGGCTAAATGGAGGCGCTTCACGTCTTTTGCTGAATCCAATAACGTTGTTGCTCACTCAGCCTCCATTGAAAATATTCTTCCATTTCTCCTGTCATTACACCAGACTGGACTGAAACCCTCATCCATCAAAGTTTACATTGCAGCAATTTCTCATTACCGTGGCCAGGTGCCAGGCTCATTGGCATTTTCTAATGTCCTCATTCGTCGATTCCTTAGAGGACTACAGAATCTTCAGCCACCGATTAGGCCAATATTCCGACTTGGAGCCTCTCTGTTGTTCTACAGGCGCTCACCAGGCCTCCTTTCGAGCCCTTGGCAACTGCCGACTTGCGCCTCTTGTCCTGGAAGACTGCTTTTCTCGTCACTATCACATCGGCTAGAAGAGCCAGTGAGCTCTGTGTGCTCCGTATAGACCCTGCTTATCTGAATTTCCACAGGGAGAAGGTCGTTCTGCTTACTGACCTGGCATTCATACCGAAAGTCATGTCACCTTTCCATGTCAATCAAGACATTATTTTACCAGCCTTCTTCCCTACTCCATCTACACCTATAGAGCGATCACTACACTCTCTCGACGTTCGTCGCTGCCTCGCTTTCTACAGATCTCGCACAGAACCCTTTCGCAAAACCAGGTGGCTTATCATCAAGTATTCAGAACATGACAGGGGATCTCCTATCAGATCCCAAAGACTTTCGAAATGGATTGTACAGACCATCGGACTGGCATATCAACTTGCTAAGTTGGACTTACCTGTCATGCCCAGAGGACATTCCGCAAGGGCTGTTGCGGCTTCTTCTGCCTTTTCTGCTGGCATTCCAATCCAGGACATACGCAAGGCTGCCACTTGGACTACTCCTTGCACCTTTGCCAGACGTTACCGCCCCGATGTGTGTGCCAAACAGGATTGCTCCTTTGGTCAGGCAGTCCTGTTCTCCAGTGATGACACCACCCCGCCTGCGGGTCTGATAAGCTTGCTAATCACCCATATGTGTGATGCACAGAGGCCACGGCGAAGAAAGGCAGGTTGCTCACCTGTAACTGTCATTCTTCAAGTGGCCATTTGTGCATTCACACAACCCACCCGCCAGCCCCACTCGGTGTCGGTGATTGGGTTTCTACGGTACCATGTTTCCCTTGGTGGCGGATTCGTAGAAGGGTTTTCTTCATATATATTTCTATGTATATGCTTGCTTAGTGTTTGAGCAGGTGCTCTATAATACTTAACGCTCCCTCTTGGGGGCGAATGGTCGATCTTCAGTAGACTGAGGAAATGACAGGCGCTTCACTTTCTTATACTGTGGGGCAAGAGGGGTGTGGAGGTCCCGCCAAACCGTTAAGCTTTTAAATCTTCCCAGCTACAGGCGCTGTGCAGGCACAGCACCCAAATGTGTGATGCACAGATGGCCACTCGAAGAACGACCGTTACAGGTGAGCAACCTGCCTTCCTCTTCACTCTGCCGCTGAGAGACAGAGAAGGAGATGAGGAGGTGGGCGGAAGTAGTAGACCATGCTCATTCGCTTTCTTGAGTAGCGGGATGGGAGGATTAATTGAATTGCAGCAGGTGGAGAGGGGCAGTTTAACCTTGTCTTTCTCTGTGCTGATTTCTGTGAAAATGCATCTTTTGAAGGCACTATTTGTACTGGGCCTTTCCATCCCAATACAGATAACAGGCTTGGAGGAACAGTTTTGAGGAACAAAAGGAAAGTGTTAAACCCACCGCATCCCTACAGTACTTGTAATGATTGTCAGTGTCTGCCTTCTCCAACCTTACTGCTGTTTGCATTTGTGTACAAATGTCCATATATAGTTCATCGCTAAGCATCAAGTTTTATTAATGCTATTTTTTGTTGCTTGTGTGTGTTTAAGTTTTGTTAACTGCCCAGGGAGTCTTGGCTATTGGGCAGTGTGAAAATAAAACAAATGAATGAATGCAAAGTGAAGCACATGCACACAGGCCATGTATTTACAAGTCACACTAAGCTGCCCTGTGAATAAGTGATGCCCTGGGAGTGTTCGCAGAACAACCCTTTCTGTGCCTGGCAGAGGATTGTGGTCACTCTAGCTTGTACCCTCATTCCTCCAATCACTGTCCCTTTGTAGTCACTGCTGACTTTTTTCGGAGAGGACAAAAAATGCAGAATTGGTGTCACATTGTTAAAGAAATTGGCCCCAGAAAAACAACTCAGTCAGATTGATGGCAGTGGTGGTGGTCTTTCACAAGAGTGTCCTTACAGCTGTCTATTATTATTTATTATTATTATTAGAACATTTCTATGCCGCCCCTTGCCGAAGCCTCGGGGCTGTTTATTTGGAATCCAGCTGTGAACCCATATGTCTAGCCCTGTCTGCTCAATGTTCTCCTATTAAACTGCCAAAGGGAGCAGGCAATAGACATGGAAAAGACAAGATGAGGTTGCATATAGACTAATCTATGCACACTTGCTAGGGACCAGTTGCCAAGTTGTCAGTTGAAAACCACCCTAAAGGGATAAAAAGCAGTAAAAGAGGTGCACCAAAATGGAGGAGGACAATGCCATCCACTTAGCAGTGCAATACTCTGGATTTGAAGTTCTGAACTAAGACTTCCCCCAGGTCTGCTGCAACTCCAGAAGGGTAAGCAATTAACTCTCCACCTTTCACAGGTTCTTTGGAGAACCCTTACTGCTGCAGTGACTGTGGTTCCCTGAGAGTTCCTCTGCTCAGCACCAGCAGGATAGGATGGTGCAAATGGGCAGCAGCATCAGAGTTTTTACACCAACATCCCCATGGAGCCCCATTCATTCCATCCCATACAGCATCATTTATAGGTGCTTTTCATAAAATGGTCAGTATTGTTGCAGTAACCACAGTAATAATACCCAAAGGAACTGTGAAAAGGAAAGGGTTTTTTCTTTCTTTCTGGACCAGCTGGAGATGCAGGGAAGTGATAGAATAATGGAGGACACTGAGAAGTGTAGTTCAGCACTTAAAATCAATAGCACAGTGGAGGTACCATTCCTTCTGTCCCTTCTGATGCTTCTTTTGCTAGTCTTTCCCCATTCCAGGTGCTTAGTCTTACCATGACATTTCCATGAGTGGTACCAGTTCCAATTTCCTGCTACCTTTGATCGCTGAAATATATGAGGAAACTGAGGACACATACAAGCAGTGAGGGTGCACTTGTGAAAGACTGAACAAGAAAAAAAATTGCAAACATATTTGCATGTTTTGGGGGCTGAAATGCCTTCAAAGTGCCACTTGGTGGAAGGGTTGTTGCTAGCAATGGTAAAGGTGCAACCCATGATAACATTGTTCTTCTCGGTTTTGATAGCATCATGAATCAACCTATCACAGATCAAACAACCCCTAGAACAAGCCACAGGTTGTCAGGGTGGCTTATTGCCAAAAGCAAGCCATGTTGTAGGAAATAGTCTGGTTTTGGATAACACAAACAACCCATTATGGATGGTTACACATGATGGCTTATTGTGTCCTGCAAAACCAGTCACACATATCCCAAGGAAGAAAGTACCTAAAGGCTGAATTGTGTTTGTTATTTGATGCAATAACTAATGCTTCCTTTCTTTAAAAAATCCTTGCAGGTATCCAGACCATTGATTCAACACAGGCTCTCTTCCTTCCCATTGGTGCATCAGTGTCTCTTTTAGTCATGTTCTTCTTCTTTGACTCAGTTCAAGTTGTCTTTACAATATGCACAGCAGGTGACTGTTTTTCTACTTATCTTGTGCATGGAGTAGCATTATTATTAGAAATCAAGTCGCATTTGTGGATGAGATGTTCAGGGTATGAGCTAGTTAATCTCAAATGTGTTTTTCCAGTCCAGTTAAGTAAGTCATGCTAGAAGATAACTGCACTGAAGGAAAGATACGCCACTTTCAAATTTAGAGTAGAGGTATAGTTCCCCCTTTTTACTGTTACATAACCATTTTTGGCTTCAGGCATCCTAATTCCCCAACCCCACTCTACCCCATGGCTTTGTTTTTTCTCATAGCTTTTCTAAGGAGAAATTTGAGATCCTGTAGGTTCATGTGCATATTTTGATGATGCATGACATTTTGACAGCGCAATCCTAAACCCCTAATGTTGCTTTTTGCAAGGTATTAAGATCTCTGTTGGCAGAGAGAACTCTGCTGGTGGAAGGCTATGACCTACAGATCTCCTACTGGGAGAAGCAAGTGTAGGGTCTCAAACGCTGTACTATTCAGCTGAGAGGGGCATCTATGCTGTCTTGTAAACAGCAGGGGAGAAACTAACATATCACTCCCCTGCACTTTTTGCTATGCTTGCACAAGTTGGTAGGTCTGCCATGCAGAAGTATTTACACAGCCCCTTTGCTCTTCCACATTTTATTGTGTTACAACCTGGAATTGAAATTAAATGTGATTGGCATTACCACCACTTGATATACACAAGATACTCAACCCTGTAAATGTGCGAAGCAGTTTTACTATGGCACAAAAGTCAGGGAAGCAAAAGCGAGCTGTCATCCGCCAGTCGCATAAGCACCCAACCTCTCTGCTGCAGGATGTCTGAATAAGCCCAGGTGCTCCCCCTGCCTCCAGAAGTCACAGACTGTAAGCGGTCCAGTCAACCCACCCGTGTGCACCTCCAGGCCACACGCTCCCAGGTGAGACACTTCCTTCCCGGAATGCCCCAGAGGGTGTTGCAGAGCACAGCTAAGCAAGCAGCATCATGCAGACAACGCCTGGATCAAGCTGACTGCAGGAGCACCAGTCAGGGCCGGGCACTACGAGCAGCCCCAGATTAGGAAGACGCCCAGAGCACTGTTCAGCCCACTCTTACAAGTGGAGAGAACAGGGATCAGCCGTGGCTCTCCCTACAGAGGGCCCCCCAGCAGAACTCGGTGCCTGGGTGATAGTCCGAGGAGCAACCAGGAGGGCAGCGACAGCTCCGAGGGAGCAGGTGAGGCCCGCAGCTCAGGGCAGAACCCGTGCATGGAGCAGCAATCGCCTGGATCTTCCACAAAGCTGGGCGTACTGGAAGAGTGGCGAGAAGAAAGGCACTGCTGGAACAAGCCCACGTCAGCGCTGCTTCGGCATCCCCAGGAAGGCATGTGGCAGACACAGCAAAGGTGGGAGAAGGTGCTCTGGGCTGAGGAGGCCGAGCGGGAGAGTTCGGCCGTGCTGCCAGATGCTTTGCATGACGCAAAGCCAACGCGCTCTTTGCCCTGAGAACGCCCTCCCCACCGGGAAGCCTGGTGGCGGCGGCAGCCTCGTGTCATGCTGTGGGGATGCTTCTCAGCAGGGGCTGGAAAACGGGGACTGGCCGAGTTCGAAGGCAAGGTGGATAGAGCCAAAGGCAGGCCACTGCCCTTTTCTGAGGAGAACCTGTTTCGCCATGCCAGGGACCTGCGACTGAGGCAGAGGCTGGACAGCGACCCTGCATGTGCCGCCCGAGCAGCCCTGGGGCGCTTTCGGGACAAGAGCCTGAACGGCCCAGCAGAGCCCGGACCTTGACCCAGCCGAGAACCTGGGGCAAGATGTGGCAGTTGCTGCCCGCCGACCTGGCAGCTGCCGCAGCTTTACCGGCACGCGTGGGATGCAGCTGCCCGGGTCCCATAGAGGAAGACGGGCCGAAGAAGACTTGCAGCCGAAACTGCTGCTCAGGGGCTTCCAGCAAGTCCTCGCAGGGGTGCATGCTCATGCAGCCAACAAGGACCAGTGTGTTCTTGCCTGCCACGATGAACATAGTTGGCATTTTCACAATGGTGAGTATCTTGTGTACATCAAGTTGTCACATTGCCAGTTAAATCCATTTCCAGCATGACAGAATGTGAGAAGGGAGCATATACTTTGCAGGGTGCTACTGTAGTTGCCTCATCACCACCATCTCCAGCACTTGGGATGGTTGACTGAAGTGATGGTCAGGTAAGTATTTTTTGCCTCATTTTCGTTCCTTTTCTCTAAAGAGCTCAGGGTTCTCACTCCTCTCACCCTCCTAGGGCGTGCTGTGCAATAGGCTAGGCTGAGTGTGTGGCTTTCTCAGAGACATTGCCTGAGTATCACGGTCAAGTGGAGCTTGGTGTTTACAAAGCAATGTTACTATTTATACCTTCTCTGGCCTTATATTTGAGCCTTTCTCATTTATGAATGATGGCAGAAAAACTGAAATTTTTGTTTCTTTTTTTTAAGTGTTCTATTCCAGCCTGTTGCTAACTTTTTGTCCAAAATTTAGCTTTAACATTAGCTTTAATATTGTAACTGTTGACTTCCAGTTCAATATTTTGAGAGATATTCCAGTTATGATAAGATGTCATAGAATTGGGGTAGGAAAACTTTCAGTCTACAGGCCATTTTCAGCATTCACTCTAATTTTGCGTGGGATGGAGGATAGAGAGTGTGAGAGAGAGTTGGGCTTGCAGAGAGGGCAGGGAGGGCCTGCTGTACTGTGTGCATCACCCACTTCAGGCTCTGGCTCTGTGCTCCCGGCTGGCTCTTCCTGCTGATCAACAGCTGTTCTGGAGGAAAGCTTCCCCAGTCCTGCCGTGTATATGCTACCTGTATTCTTCTGTGTCTTGCAGTATGTGTGTATTACATCACACACACATGAGCTGCAGTGTGGAGAACACTGGTGACTAACTTTGGGAGGTCAGCTGAACCATTTTCCCTCCCCTGGACTGCTCCGTCATAGGCTACAACACTCAGTCCTGCAAATGCCAAAAATCTTGCTCAAAGGAGCTTTAAAAAAATCAGTAAATATACAACCAATGGAGCTGCTACAGAGAGCCAGAAGAGCCAAAATTCTTCACAAGATAATTTTGGCTTTTTTGTTTCTCTGCAGCAGCTCCAGTGACCATTTTAAAAACATGCTTTTGGCTCTCTTTGAATTTCAAAAGATGACAGCACTAAGGTGCTGTGTCCATCTTGTGCAGTGCAGGGGCTGTGTGCTGCCCAGTCTGCTTTAGTTGATTATATTACTTGCCTTTTTAAAATTGATGCTTTCCCAGGTTTACAGGGTAGCACATTTTGATACAAATTAATTTTGATGAAAGCACTTACAAAGCCACAGACAGTTAGCTTCATCTTAGAGGCTTTTTTTCTGAAATAGGTAGTGCCTTTTCTGTGGTTATGTCTGATATAGTAATGCATCCTATAAAAAACAAAGTGTTGGATTCAGACTTTGTAATACCTATGCTTGGTTCATACATAACAATAAACTTGGTATCCTTTGTTCCCTTGTCCAAGCAGCAAACAGGTCCAAGACTTCCCCTGATTGGGTCCTCAGTGCTCCAGTGGAGGAATGATAAGAACTCAGTCTGCTTTCCTCAGCAGGAGTGAAGACAAGCTGGCCAAGTTCCTTTCACATCTGTTGTGAGGTGGTCCATTTTGCCCTGCTTCCTTCCCACCCTGGTGGAAGAAAACAGACTGAGTAAAGCAGAGGTGACTTGATGCATCTCCTTCCTCCAGTGGAAGAACATCAGGCACTGGGCTGACTCTGCCCTGTTGCTGCACACCCTGCCTTGTCCCCACAATGCGGGAAGGAAGTGGGGTGAGCAATTCCGAAGGGAGCTTGTCCATTTGGGAAGAGCAGCCTCTCCGCCTAGCAAGGATAAATCACATGGCTCAGTGCCCCATGTTTCTGTGTTCTCAATTGGAGGTAACAGAAGGGATCCTGTTGCTTGTGCTTGACAGCACGGGAATGCCATCTGGGAATCCCTTCAGAGGCTGCATGGGCCAGATTGTCCCAGTGGCTGGGGGTTATGACCCTGCCCTCTAAACAGCCCAGAGCTCTGGGTCAAAATGTTTGTGTGTAGGCTGAAAGTTAAAGTGACTAGCACACAGGAAGAAGCCCAAGTGCTGCTTAGCCCCTGAGAAATGTGATTTGCACACTGGTCAAACTGTTAATGTATTTAGGCTTCATTTGCATGAGTAAAGTTTACCCACAGAAATTAGTCTCTTCGTACTACATTTTTGAGCCCCTTACTAAAGTGATGTATTTCAGAAAAGCTTCATAATCAGACCTAAAACATTTTGAAATGATCCTTTGAGTGCTGACTTAAAATATCATTTGTGGCTTGTTCACTCTTTGGGATATACTGGCTTTACAGTTATAATTTAATGATAGTAAATTGCTTGGACTACTAATTTTTAGCAAAATAAAATCCTTTAAAGAAATTAATGTTTAACTTGTGCTGCCTCTAGGGCTATTGATATATCAGTTAATTTTCATACAATCAGTTAATTTTCACTGATTGTATTGTTGTTTTTGAAGCAATGAAATTGGGTATATGTTAACCTTAGTTTCTTTCTCCCTTTTCCTAGTTCTTGCAACAATAGCATTTGCTTTCCTTTTGCTCCCAATGTGCCAGTATTTAACACGACCGTGTTCACCTCAAAACAAGTAAGAAATAAATGTTGCTTTTCCTTCTTTGCAGTACAAAGGTCCTGTTGTTAATTTAACAAGATGGGGTTCTAATACTGAAATTGAGACAATTTGGGTAGCAAGTCCTGCCCTTGCTTTAGAGGCTTCTGTTACAATGTGCAAATAGGAAGAGCACTTTTGTCCCTTAGGCAGAAAAATCCACAGACCTGATAAATCAAGGACAGTGCCTGCTGGGCTAGCTGCATCAAAATGAACAGAGCTTGCACAGTGTGTCTTTTGCGGGGGGTTCCCAGTCAGAAGAGCCCCCGGCAGACTTTACCCTGTGGGCCAGGATGATTTGTCTTCCCATAACTGCCCAGAGGTAACTGCTTTCCCCACACTTTATGGACAGTAGTCTTGCCTGACCATGGCTGTCCCACTCTGCTTAATACAGCAGAATAAAGGGGGGAAATGCCATTCACACACACTTCCTGTTTTTCCTGCCTCTGAATAATATTTTTGTGTTCACTTGATAACAGCCACAACTTTTGCCTGTTCGTAGTACCAGCTGATTATTGTACAATGGATTGTAGTGATAATTTTCTAAACCTCATGGGGCATCTTTAGTGGAAATTTTGACAGGGAAAAATTGGCATGGTTGTACCCACATCATTATCACTGGCCTTCAGATATAGTAGGGACACGGGGCGAGGAAAATGTTCAGTTGGTATGACAGCTGGAGTTCTGAAATAAGTAAACTGTAAAAATGTTCCCCAGTTACCTTGTTCTAGTACCCCCTTTCTAGCCCCCAGCAGAAGGTCCAAGGATGGGCATCTGAAATCATTTGTATCTAATTTTAGGATTGGTAGGGGAGACTCTTTGTTGCCTCTGGTACCTTTCCTGTAACAAAAAAAGCATCGCCATTCTGGCAAATCTTGTGAGATTTTCCCTTCTTCTGAAAGGTCTTAACTTTCTGGTGATGTTTTCCAGGATTTCTTTTGGTTGCTGTGGACGTTTCACTGCTGCTGAGTTGCTCTCCTTCTCTCTCTCTGTCATGCTTGTTCTTATCTGGGTCTTAACCGGACATTGGCTCCTCATGGATGGTAAGTGTTGAATAGGTGAATTGGTGGTGGGGTAAAGATGGTTGATGTAAACTCTTCCTGAAATATTTACTCGAAATGGATATTATGTTCCTTTGGCAATGTGTGTTGTCTAGAGCAATAACTTCCAAATACTGTGGCAAGATAAATGATTTAGGCTGCACTCCCGTTGTCCTCATGCTCCATGAATGTAAGCCTCCAAACGTGCAAGCTCACTTGCATCCTGTACCTTGAATGAGGCACAGTAGTGGTGCTCTCTGCTGCCAGCATGCCTCATATCCTGACTTTTTCCTAGGTGGTTGTTTTTGGCTGTCTAGAAGTGGGAGGGGAAAGTGACTGTGGTGTCAGTAGGAATAAGTGTAAGTCCTCAGACCCAGCCTTCTCCCCTCTGGCACACTCTTTTTTCTGCCTTCCATGGTGCATTTGCCATCTTGTAGTGGCAGCTGGTGCAGTTCTTTCCATGCTGGCTATGAGGGCAGTGGGGCAGGGGCTTGGTCTTTGGCATCCTAGTTCTGAGATTTCAGGATCTCAAGAATTGGGACTATAAATAATCCCAGGACTCCCACCCAGCAGACAGTGTCGAGTTCCCATTGGAACTGAAGATTCTCATGACTCCAAAGGCTCCACCCAGAGAGGAAGCTGCCTGCTATGTCCTTGCTTGATTCCCTGCCCTTTCCTTCAATTTTCTGACTGTGATTCTGCCCTTCTTGGGCACTGGGCAAGAGAGTGACCCACTCTTGGCTGAGGCTGCCTGTTTTGTTTCTGCAGCCGTCCCAGTTCTTCCTCGTGGCCTCTGTGCATCACACATAATGGGTGCTACGCCTGTGCAGTGCCTGTAGCTGGGAAGATTTGAAAGCGTAACGGTTTTGGCGGGAACTCCACGCCCCTCCCCCCCATAGTATAAGAAGTCGGAGTGCCCGCCATTTCCTCAGTCTTCTTGCGACCACCGTTCACTGTGCCTCAAGCCTTTTGACTCTCAGTCTGTAGCTATATTGTTGTATCTTGATCCCTTTTGAACCGTTGCTTTTCTGTTCTCTTAGCTTTCTTGTTAAGATGTCCAAGTTATTCACCCTCTCCATTAGAAGTTTCTTCTAATTCTCCCTTTTTTCCCCGTGTCCCCAGAAAATATTAAAAAAAAAGTTTATTCTCTTCTTACATTGCTTGCCTTTGCTATCTTCTCTTTTCATCTTGATGGCTCAGTGTGCGGCTTTTTGCAAGTGTTCCCAGTGTGGGGCCAAGATGTCCCCTACTGATCCGCACGACCTGTGCTTTCTCTGCCTTGGAGAAGTCACAGGACCTATAAGTGCGGCCATTGCCAGGCCTTCACCAAGCAGGTGCGAAAAAATGTGATCAACTGGCGGCCCAATCCACTGCGCAGCCCTCCTCTTCGGCTGCCCCTCTGCCCTGCCCATCGGCTGATGGAGCTACTCTCCTGGAGGGCAAACGCTCCTCTAAGTCTCCTCACAAACAAAAGGAGAAGAGGTAGCACAGCGGATCTGACAAGTCCTCAGGCCATAAGAAGTCTAAGGAGGACAGGGCAGACAAGACCACCCATAAGACTAAGAAGGCTGACCAGCCCCGTCAGTGTGATTCGGGATCGTCTGCCCCGACGGCTGTGTCACCACTGACACCAACTGGCCCAGCTCTTCAACTGGCTATGCAGGTGAGCCCGCCAGGGTCCCAGCAACAGGTTGCCCCTTCAGTCTTCATCTCACCAGATCGTCTGGAGGCCGCCATACTGGGATCAGTTTCCAACGGATGATGGAATCGCGGAAATTCCCCAACCAGCCACAGCTGACTTCACAGCGATACAAATCTATATATCGAGTTTGAGAACAGGACGTTCCATTTTTCCTGCATCACCCAAAGCTGAACTCGATCTTCATGGAGTCGTCTCAGGGTCACAAGTCAGGAGAACACTCTACTCCTTGCGACAAGGAAGGGTGGAAGATCGACATGATGGCTCGCTGTATTTACTCCGCCACAGGTCTCAGGCTCCGGATCTCCAATTATGAGGTGATGCTGGCTCGCTACCACTATATCCTCATGCAGAAACTGGAGAATATTACAGCGTCGCTCCCGGAACAGCAGCGGGACCTAGCTCGCATCTTCACCAAGGAGGCGATGCAGGTGGCGATTCAACAGCTCTCTACAGCACGACATCATTTCAACTGCGACTCAAGGGCCCTCGTTGGTGCTGTAGCCCTCCGTTGCCATGCCTGGCTCCGGAACTGCAACTTTCTGGATGAAACAAAGTGCCACATTGAGAACATGCCCTTCGACGGTTCGGGCTGTTCAGTGCCAGGACGGACCACAAACTCAAGACCATCCACGAATCCCACGTTACAGCTTGGTGTATGGACGTTCCTAACCGATCCACATGTAAGTGGTCTTGGTCCCACCCCTCTTACCGATATCAACCATACCCTCTGTTCTCTGGCCTGCAGCAGTTCCAGCCTTGTCAGCAGTGCCAAAAACAACCAGCGCAGCACTATCAGCAGAGCCGTCGCCACTCAGATTCTGATAAGCATGAGCGTTGACGGGCTGAGCGAACCTTTTCTTCTCTCCTGAACCCACCCTCCCCTCTTCCTTTTGGGGATCGACTGCAAAGTTGACTCCCCATTTGGGAGCATCACATCTGATCAGTGGGTTTTATCCAACATGGAGCACGGATATAGAATCAAGTTTGATACCATACCCCCATCGGGACCGATCCTATATACGTCTCCGTCATTGGTTCTCAAAGACGAAGGTCAACAGCTTCTTTGTAAAGGAGTGATTTGACAACTCTCACACTCCAAGGGGTTTCACGGTTTCTACTCAAGATATTTTATGGTCCCGAAAAGGGATGGTGGTCTTCGCCCAATATTGGACTTGCATGGCATCAACAGGTTTATCAAAACTAAAAAATTCCAGATGACCACCCTTCAAAACATCCTTTTGTTGCTCAGGAGAGAGGACTGGTTCACTTCCTTGGACTTAAAGGATACTTACTTCCATATTAGCATCCACCCATCTCACAGGCAACTTCTTCGGTTTACGGTCGGTTCCGTTCTGTTTGAATACAATGTTTTACCGTTTGGACTGGCTACTGCTCCAAGGGTCTTCACCAAGTGCTTGACCCCAGTGTGTGCACACCTCCAGCTTCAGGGAATCCAAGTATACTCTTACCTTGATGACTGGTTGATCATCTCCTCGTCTAGAGAAGGCCTTCGATCAGCGATCCAGACTACATGCTCCCTTTGAGATGACTTGGGACTATGTATTAAGTATGAAAAATCATGCCTTGTTCCTTCACAGATCATCGATTTCATTGGAGCCCATCTCGAATCCATGATTGTGAGAGCCTTCCTCCCTCAGGAACAACAGGAGAAGCTTCGTTCATCCATTTGTTGAATCCCCATGAACAGAACTGTTCTTCGTCATGACCTCTGTGCATCACATGTATGGGTGCTGTGCCTGCCCAATGCCTAAGGCCGGAAAGATTAGAAAGCTAACGGTTTTTGGTGGGAAAACTCTGCTCCCCTCCCCCTCAGTACTATATATAGAGTGGAGTGTCCGCCATTTTCTCAGTCTTTTGCGACCGCTGTTCGCTGTGCCTCGTGCCTTTTCTCTCTCTTAGTATTGTTCTCTATTGTTCCTTATTCTTGTTGATCGTTATCCTATATCTCCAAGTTTTCTCTTCCCGTTAGATTATCTGTCTCATTTACTCTTTAGCTATTTAAAAAAAACAAAAAGATTATCTTTCCCTCTTTGCTATCTTCTTTATTCTATTTTCCCTTTTCCGATGGCGCAGCGAGCGGCATTTCGTAAATGTGTCGAGCGCGGGTCTAAGATGTCCCCTGCGGACCCACACAACCTGTGTCTCCTTTACTTAGGCAAGGGGCACAGAACTGATAAGTGTGGCCATTGCCAGGCCTTCACTAAGCAGGCCTGTAAGAATCGGGAGAACTGGCTACGTAAAATGCTCTGGGACCAGGCTTTTATGCAGTCTGACCAGCTGGCTGCAAAACCTGCCTCTGCCTCGGCCGTATCTCCACTGTGCCCATCGGAAGATGGTGCTTCAGCTACGGGGGCTCAACAACCTCCTTCTCCCCCGGTAAACAAAGGGAGAAGAGGAAACATGGCAGCTCGGATAAATCCTCTAGCCACAAGAAGGCTAAAAAGGATAAGGCAGACAAGACGGCCCACAAGGCTAAGAAATCTGACCACGCTAGACACCACGACTTGGGTTCTTCAGTGCACTCGGTCCCGGTGGCCGTGATGGTACCGACCCCATCTGGACCGACCCTGCAGTCTGCCATGCAGGTTACTCCGCTGGGTTCTCCTAGGCGGGTCACACGCTCGGAAAGCGCATCCCCTGAATGACCTGAGGCACCTTTACGCAAGTCGATTTCAGATGAGGGGATTCGCGATTCTCCACCAAGAGTTTGCTCGCCTACACCAATGCCGCCTCCTAGGCCAGCTGTGGAACCGCTTACTTCTCCGTCACGGCACTGATGTTGCTCCTCAGACCGACTTATGGAGGAATGGGACCAACCCCATTATGGCAGTTATCGCACGGGTTGGGAGGATTACCATTCCTTCGCGTTCTATCTGTCGTCACGGGACCATACGTCTCCTCCGGTCCCGAGGGAGGCCCCATCTGCTTCTAGGCACGCGGAGCTGAGACACTCCACATCACCGGGGAACTCTTCCTTCCGCGGACCATACCGCTACAAGACCGACTCGGACGAGTCAGAGGTGAATTCAACCTCTCCAGACATCACAATCACCTCGCAAGGACCAGGATCTCCGGAAGAGCCCTGCATTACCTTTGGTGAATTGATGGCAAGACTTGTTCGGTCACTAGAGATTGAGGCACAACGTGGGGTCGATCCTAGCACCGACAAGTTTTACGACATCGTGAGGGGTGAACAATCGGCTGCCATCGTTCTGCCTTTAATAACTACGCTTCGCCAGGCTATGGTTCAACCTTGGGACCTGCCGGCCCAACCACAGCC